TGCCACAGAGAATTTAATGCTTTAAGGTCTCTGAGGAGTAGCAATGTCACATGTTTTAGGAAAGTTTGTGGGATGTTGAAAAATGAGGAAAGAAGGCATTAAGAATAGAAGGAAAAAAATGAATGGATTACTGAGGTCAATTGTGGTCAAGAAAATGTAAATGAATCCATTTAGTTCAAGAGTTTATCTTTCTTAGGCCATGTGGAGTTCTGTCCTGAAAGAGAACTAATATTTGTCATAAAATATTCTTAATCCTCATTAGTTTTCCTTTTGACATAGGCTAGCCCATACCTGAATCAATAGGAGAGCTTCTTGCTTAAGTCAACAAATTCTTAAAGTAGCAAAAATTTTAAAGCACTAATTCTGATAGAAAAAAAAAAACCTATCTAGAAAATTGGGAAGAGACTAGAAATTAATTTTTTATGAAAGCAAAGTCTTGAATAAATGGAAAAATTGAACATATCTGCTCCTTTGCAAATGCAAAAAATGTTTTATCCTTGTCTGTTCTAGGAACAGAACTTTCTCAGAGAATGAAACTCAGTAGGATCCCTGATCTCAACTCAAATATTCTGAGTTACAACTTGTAAAGGCTAAATAAAAAGTGTTACTCTTTTGAACTTCATTGGTTCTCAATGGCTTTTTGAAATAATGGCCTCATGATACCCTACCATATAAATGAAGGTGCTTCCAAAAGACTGTCATGATACTCTTAATGCTTCCTGTCTCTAGCTCCCTCAACTCTGCCACCCACATCCCTGTAGGGAACAAAGAATCAGTGATGGCCTGGACTCAGTGGTAGATGAACCTGGGCAAAGATCTGTAAGGATAGATCTGAAATGAGTGTCACCACTGACCATAGAGCTGTCTTTGCATTTTGCCTAACTTGGTCAGCTCTGTGTATTTGTCCCTTTGCTAGAGGCATGAGCACTCTCAAGAAGGGTGTGGTGTTCGCTACTCCTGAAGTGGGACCAGCTTTGTAGACTGCACACTATAGAAGTTGGTTTCAGTGGTTGGCGTAATGGCTATGTCGCTGGACTCCCATGTAGTCGACCCTGGTTCAAGTCCCAGACCTGGGGGCTAAACTCACGACAGGCTCATGTGCATGTGTGCCCAAGATCCCGAGAGGAAAATGGAGGAGATGGGATTGTGGCGTGACCATCCCCTCTGCGAGGGGTGGTGATATCTTGCTTTGTATCTCTCTGTCTCTCTCTATCTCTTAAAAAAAGTTGGCTTTGGTTGTCTTTTCTTTTTTTCTTTTTTTGCCTTCTTTCTTCCTCTTTTTATCTCTTTTTTTTCTTTCCTTTTTTCCTTTTTTTTTTTTAATCTTTCTCTCTTCTTTCTTTGTTTCTTTCTTTCTTTTCTATACAGCACATGCATTTACTGAGAGCTAAAGACAGGAGCAGAATGAGAAGGCAACTTCCAGGGATTGGCCATGCCTCTAATCCCTTCTCCTTCATTCTCCTCTCAGGATTTTGGGCTTATTTCTCATACATACACTCAGAGTCACAAACCATGTACTCAGCCATGTGGGATCCAGTTGCCTTAACCACCATACTATTGTCTGGCCCCTGCATTGGTTTTCTACCTGCAAGTTAAGATAGCTACAGCCTCATAAATGGTTACTTCTGGGTAAAGCGTTTAAGCTCTTTTGCAAGCTTGTAAAAGTGCTTAAATATTTGTGAAGGTATTTTCCAAACATTGAAATATTTATAGATTTATGTATATTTAATTAAATGATAATTACTTATGTTTTCCTATTAAATTTAAGAGAAAATGCTGGAGCAAAATTTAAAGAAATAGCACCACCTAGGGACAAGTAAATGTCTGCAATTTCTGCCTTCTCTGTCTTTAACAGTCTTGGACAGTCATCACTCCTTTATTAGACAGGTGTGTTTTAAGGCCTATTCCAAATTAGTTCCCTGGTTTTTATGTCCTTTGAGCTGTCTGTAGCAGCCAAAGCCATGCTCTGGAGTTAGATAACTTTTAGCAGCTCTCCTCCACGATGTTTCTCATGGTCAGTGATATATCCTCATTCTCATAATTGCATATCCTTTTCCTCTCAAAATATTATTTTTAGAAATGCTTCAAGCTTATTTCCATTCTCCTTTGTCAGTCTTTTCTGATTCGAGTTATAATTGTAAGAAGAGATTACAGAAGAGAAGTTCCTGTTTTTCCCCCATCTACCTGAGAACCTTTAACACTGACAGTTTTTCCAGCTGCAGTGGCACAGTAGTAGCACAACACCCTGCCATGCTGGGGGCCACATGGGATACTGGAGTTTGGTTCCCAGGTCAAGCTGTACACGGTGGCACATGTGTGCGTGACTGTGATCCTGCCTGGCCAGGAAGGCTGGGAGGATTGTAGCATGAAACCCTATTGGTGCTTGTCTTTTTCTTTCTGTCCATCTCTCTCATAAAAGGAAGAAAAGAAAGAAAGAGAGAGAGAGAAAGAAAGACCTTTAAGACATGCATTTTTCTGCTCTGATGAATTTTCTTCTTGGCATAGGCTGTGTACAATTCCTTTTCTTTCTAAGGAGCAGGCTTATATAAGAAAATTATTATGTTACAACCTCGTGGTTTTATTATCTATTTTAACCCACAGTTTAAAGCAGTGGCTCTTAAACTTCAGTGTGCTGTGCAAGTTAGAAATGGGGATTCCCTCCCCCCAAATATAATTCAGAACTTATATATTTTTAAGAATTATTTAATTTTACTTATTATTAGTTTTTAGTTTGCTATAGGGCACATATGCTCATGAGAGAGAGAGAGAGAAAGAGAGAGAGAGAAAGTGAGAAAGCAAGCTGCCATATCCAGTACTTGAACCACAGTCAGCCATCTGAAAGACCAGCACCTTAACAATCATTCCACTTAATGGTCCCCAGAATTTGTATTTCTAACAAGAACTTTGGGTTATTTAGATGTAGGTAGTTCTTGATCCAATCTAAGAAATACTTATTTAGATGGTTGGTTGTTTTCTCATGTGGAGTTTTTAAAACAAAGAGTCATTTTAAAGCAAAGATGTTTGGGTTTCATTACAAAAAGGAGCATGCATTTTTTTAGAATTATTTTATTTGTTATTAGTATTGTTTTTTTAATTTGCTATAGGGCACATATGCTCACGAGAGAGAGACAGACAGAGAGAGAAAGAAAGAGAAATAAGGAAAGTGAAAAAGTAAGCCACCAGGTCCAGGACTCAGATGCAGTCAGCTCTGTGGGAGTTCAGTGCCCCAACCACCATGCCACCTGCCAGCCCCAAGGCCCCAAGGCCCCACACATGCATTTTGAAGCCTTGTATTTTAACTTCAAACTTAGAGAAATGTACCCCTGAACCTTAGAAAAATAATTATGTTATGTAGATGTTTTTCCCAAAAACAATGTTTGAATGAAACATGTTTCTTCTGTTGGGAATATTTATGGTCTAAAATAACAGTAATGTTTTCTTTTGGCCTGACAAGCTTCAGAAAAAATTCTGTATAATTATTTCTTAATCAACTGTGTAGGATTTTGGTATATGCATAGTGGTGATTAGTATATAAAGTCTGTATGTTTTCCATGTTCCAGCTTAATCTATGTCAGCAAGTTCTATAATTTATATCATGAGTAATGAGAGATGTATGTATCCAGCATGTATGTCCAGCTGGTCATTAAAATAGTAACGTGCTAAACAGTGCTGTTCCTTAATCCCATGATTTCCAATGAAATAAGTGAAGCAAGAGATTTTCCTTTGGAAGAACATAAATTTTATTTTTCCCCCTATGGAACTAGAAGGTAGGGAATGGTGGAGGGTCTGGATCAGTTTTAGGAGTTACAGTGATTCATTGCAGTTTATTCAACTTTAGGTCAAATAGGACCATATAAGTTAACACATCATTTGCCTTATGGGTATGTTATTAAAAGTTGAAAAAAACACTTTGAAGGAAACCTTTATCAGTAGATCACATGAGAACAAAAAAACATTTTGGAAGGGGCCAGCTGGTAGCAGAGTGGTTAAGGCAGCTAGATCCCACATGGCCTACAGTATGGTTGGGTTCAAGTTCCAGACCTAGTGGTTTAAAACACACATCAACCACATGTATGTGCATGCCCAAAGTCCTGAGAGGAGAATGGAGGAAAAGAGATTATGACATGGCCGTCTCCCCCAAGGGTTGTTTTCTCACTTTCTGACTGTCTGTCTGTCTCTCTCTTATTCTCTGGTGAATGCACACTATAACAAATTTTTAAAACATGTTTGTGGATGATTGTTTCTCTGTACTTTTTCAAACATAGGGACCAGCAGTTAGCATAATGGCTATGTCTCTGGACTCCCATGTAGTCGATCGCGGTTCGCTTCCCGGACCCGGTGGCTTAAAACTCACGCAGGGCACGTGTGCGTGTGTGCCCAAGATCTCAAGAGGAGAATGGAGGAGAAGAGATTGCGGTGTGACCATCCCCCCTGGGGGGTGATTTCTCACTTTCTGTCTCTCTGTCTCTCTCTGCCAGTCTGGCGAGCGCACGCGCCCTATAGCAAAAAACAAAAAACAAACAAACAAACCTCTCTAAACATAATGTTATTTGGTAACTTGAGAGGTCATATGCATTTTATCTTTTTCTTTCAAAATTATCTTTGCTTCCTGTGATCATAGTGTGAAATTTTTTTTTCTTTAAAATTTGCTATAGGGCACATGTGCAAGAGAAAGAGAGAAAGTAAGAAAGCACTCCACAAGGGGTATGGCTATGCCACAATCCCTTCCCTTCCATTTTCCTCTTAGGATTTTGAGCACACATGCACACATTCCCAGGATGTTCCCCAAGCTGCTGGGATCAGGACTGGAACCATGCCATCATTCATGTGGGATCCAACTGCCCTAACCACCATGCCGCTCACTGCCCGTCCCCCATCTCCCAATTTTTTAACTGATGCTTCCAAGGCATTGTCACTAGTGTCCATAGAGATATTTCAGATTTATGTCACTGGCTCATGAGCACCTTCTTAATTACTTTCTTCTTATTATTCTTTTTTAGAGTAAAGATGGCAAGAGTCCTTTGCACATGACAGCTGTTCATGGAAGATTCACACGGTCACAAACCCTTATTCAGAATGGTAAGACAGATACTTCAGCAGTGTCATTATTTGAACAATTTCTTGGTCTGACTGAGTTTGACCGTCAGTCACCTGAATGTGAAAGTTGATGTTTGTTTGGGAATTTTAGTAAGCATGATGTACACAGTCCTTGGACGGACTTTGCTAAAAGCTCTTTGTCAGACATATCATCAGCTTTCGTCTTACTAGTGAGAACAGAAAGTCACAATTTTAAAGTCAGTTCCCAGTAAGACAAAGAATATGTGAGTTTTGAAATTGGAAATAATATACAGGCTTAAGATGATCTACTTTTCACTCTGAAACTAATAAAGATAAATCTCCTGAGTTAAAATTTACTAAGCTACATGGGCAAAGATAGAAAAAAGGTGATTCAGAGAAAATTCAGATAAGTACATGATACAAAGGATCATAAAATCAGACTTGACAGAGACCTTGGAAGGTCGCGAGATATAGTAATTTTCCAGGCTCACGACAAAGCTATACTTGACTATTCGGGATGTCTGTGAAGCCAAAGTATGAGGATGTGTCACTTCTCATGTTGATGTCCTAAGAGGGTGGTGGGTGGTCAGCATCTGTAAGTGGCTTGACTTGGACAGCTTGTGTTGTCTTTGCAAATCTTAGAGAGTACTAAAAAACAAAAACAAAAACAAAACAAAACAAAAAAAAAACAACCAAAAACCAGGATTAGTTCAGACCTTAAGTCGATATTCCAGGTTACTTCAGCAGTTTCTAAGTTATTTTTAGTTGAATCACATTTCTACAACTCAAAATTCTAGTGTAAGTCAATTTTATTTTATTTTTTATTTTTCTCACCTGTAGGAATTTTGGACGACATACACTTGAATTGGTAGTGGCACTGAGTTCTATCGTAGGCACTTAAGTCATAAAACAAGAAAGACATTTGACATTTGAGTGGAAGAGCAGCCACTGAAATTATGCTTAGAAAGCAAAATATCTGTAGCAAAGGAAAGGAAATTTATAAGCATGAAAGTGAAACTGTAGGGGAAAAAAAAATCCAGATTTCCAGTGATCCAAGTACGGTAAAATGGAAATTATCTGTGCAACTCCCATTATTTCTCATTTGAAATATGTGCCACACTTTGGATATTTATGTTATTTAAAAGGATACTTTAACTGTTTTATTTTGTTTGGACATAAATAAAAGGAGAGGGAAAGTGACACTAGTCTCTCTTTTAAACACTTTCCATTCCACTGTATTTTTCTACTTTTTTTTTTCAGAAACAATGTCCACCTCCTTAAAAACAAACAAAGCTTTCAAAACCAAACAAATCTTTTTAAAATTTAATGTGAATTTAATCAGTGGGCCTTAGCTCTGTGGCATAATAAACTTGGCTCTGTTACAACACTTGCAAACCCCAGACACAAGGTTGGAGAGAGAACAATGTTTCACCTCTTAAGCATTGCCTTTCCGCAAACCCTCCTCTGTGTGTCATCTCACACAGGCCATTCTCTTTGCATCAACCCTATGACCCATCTCCCTTCTGTCATGCTAGTATGCTTACAGTAGTTCCAAAGGAGTGCTGGCTGCTTTGGCATCTCCAAGAGGCTTCTTGGGGCTTGAAGACTTCTATACCCTCCTTGGGCATTCTCGTTAGACTTTCAAGCTGGTGAAGACCTGAAATCTTATCCCCTGTGATCAAGGGATCTTTGTTTCAGAGCCTGTTGTGTGTGTGTATGTGTGTATGTGTTTTCTTTATTTTTCTTTTATTTCTATTTATTGTATACATTCAATCACATGTTACTTAGCTTACAAAGGGACTATTCCAACATACGTACATTTCTCAGCAGTCCAGTTGACAGTTGTCAGAGCCAGTTTTTATTCTTGGTTGACCTGGCTCCTGTTTATGGGTTGGATGGAGTCCAGGGATCTGAATTGATGAGTATATAATGGCTATGATATATAGTCTATTATGAATAATGATTACACTGACATTGCTTGAGTGTCCATGCTGTGCAAGACAATTGACTAAACACCTCATTTAAATCCTTTCAACCCCCTCCAACAAAGAGGTGCTGTTATTAACTCTACTTCAAAGATGTGGAAACAGAAGCAAGGAGAGTGTATCCGCCCGTGTTGGAATACAAGTGTGTTGAGAACGGGGGATAGGAACATAGGCAATCTAGTACCAAAGACCAAACTTTCAACCATTAGACTTATCAACTGAGTCTCTGGAAGGGCAATGATTTTTTTTTAACTTGAATTCTGTTTATTCTAAAAGTCATTTACACTATTTGAAATAGAATTATCTCTGCAAAAAAGATGATTTGACATTCTCTTCTCTCAACTGACAATTCTTTGCATTCATTACACATGTGAGAATTGTGAGTTCCATCTGACATTTTATAAGCGCCCCTGGGGAGAAGAATAGGAAGTTCTTTTCTTCCCTCCTGTTTGTTGGCTTCCCTCAGGGAAAAATCCTGGGCCGCTGCCTGGAGCCTCCCTCTCCAGAGACCTCGGTGTCAGTCCCCAGAGAGTGTCACTACACAACAGGAGCCACTCTGTCCCCAGGGAGCCAGAACACTGGTACCACATGGAAACGTTGTTCCGCACCCTGAACCAACTGAATGTGCTACCAAGGAATGTGCTTTGTTTATTTGTTGTTCTGTTAAATCCCTTCCGTGTTGAAACTTTGTATAGCATTTCTCTGCTTCCCTGACTTCTTTCCATGAGTGTTAGTAGTTCTTCCAAAATCATTCAGCTTTGATAAGACAATTATTTTTAATACTTTTTTTAAAGTTAGTAAACAAAGACTACCTGTGCTGTCAAAGCACATTGTTGTCAGAAGTTGCAGGAAAGGAGTGAGGGAGGGACAGGAATGGAATGAAGGCAGGATCTGGTATCAGCAGGATCGGATCCAGCCATTTGTATCAGGCAGCTGCCTCAGAAGCTGTTTAGAAGGTTACAAAAGTTCAAGAAGAACTTTCTTCACAGAAGCATTAAAAATACACAGAGTTTGAACAGGAAGAGTCAAATGCAGATTAGGATGACTCAGTATGAGATTTTTGACCTTTTGGTTCACAGCCCTTCCAAGGCAAAGTATTAAGATGAGCATTTTTATTTGTGCAGTGAAAACCTGATTTTCAATGAATAGTCAGACAATGCCAATCACTTATTTTTGTATACACTCTGCATACTTCTGAACGCTCAACTGTTTATCCTCCCCACTCTCAATGATTAATTACCAGCATTTAACCTGCAACCTTCAAATGAGTAGTAAAGATATTTATGTATTCATCTTGTTCACTATAGAGTGTATGCACCTGTGAAGGAGAGAAAGAGAGAGAGAGAGAAAGAGAGACAAGCACCCTCCATGGGACTTATGCCGCAGTCCCCTTTCTCCAGTCCTCTGATCTTCCAGGACACTTGACTTGTGCGCATGCACTGGAGTGGTTTCAGGCTGATCAGGCCTTACCGTAGTCAGCTTATGGCTTCCAGCTCCACAGTCTGGTACATTACCAACTGTACCACAGAGGCTGAGCCAAGATCTTTAATTTTCTTTCCAAGCAAGTCTTAAAGATTTCCAAGTGAAAATGGAAAGGTTTGTGGAATGAGTGCAAAACAAAAATTTGAGGTCACCTTCTCATTGCAGTGGTTAAGGGTTGTACAGAAGCCGCCAAATCCCACATAACCAAAAGGGATTGGAGTCTTAGCTCCAGCAGTTTGAAAAACACACACAGGTGCCCAGGATCCTGGCAGGAGAGAGAATCAGAGGGGAAAGAAGTGTGGCATGATTAGTTTTCATTGGGGGGTGCTTTCTCTCTCTCATGTATGTGCATATTTAACATTGAAAAGAAAGAAGAAAGAAAATAAATCCAATTTATAGATACTACTTTAATAGAAAACACACACACACAGATTTTAATTTTTTTAAACAGTCTTACTATGTTACAATGATCCTGCCTCAGCCTCCCTAGTAGCTGGGACTATACAGCCAGGAATCCAACCTGGGCCTGCCATGTGACCTCAGCCAGTTTTGTAGCAGCATCTACCAGCATTTGCTACTCCAGCTGGGCCTAGAATACATATTTCTTTCTAAGTTATGATGTTTTCTTGAAATGTGTTTTAAATGACAACAAAAGCATGTATGGACAATAATTACCTGTGTCTTTACAGTTTTGAATTGACTCGTGAAATGGTAGTAATAGCAACAAGAAAAAATCTATTAGCTCAGATCCTTTATTTCTTTCTTCCTCACATTTTTTCACTCTTCTCATGCTCTACCCAAGTTTTGGCATATTTGAGGCCGGTAAACCTGGAGACCCAAACGTTTTGGTGGTTGTTGACTGGGCTGGACATAGACTGATACGTATGTCCAGGTCAAGGCTTCTCTGAAGTCATGGCTCTCCCTCAAACATCTCCCTGGGTTAGTCCCCATTTAGGCAGGCAGACCACTCTGGGCAGTACTCAGATGGATACCTGCACCATGGATTGCTCTGCGGTATCTGTGAAGACTGTGGCTGCCTCTCTCCAAAGCTATGGTCAAGTCATAAAAACGAATCGCTCTAGGGGCAGCCCTGTGCATAGAAATCTGGATCTCACGTGACCAACCACAGTTCAAATCCCAGCCCTAGCAGCTTGAAAATCATCACAGGTGCATGTGTGTGCATGCCTTAAATCCTAACAGGATACAGAAATGAAGGAAAAGAAATTGTGGCATGACGATGCTCCATTGGGGAATGCCTTCTCACTCTCTCTGGAGAGTACATGTATCCTCTAGCAAATAAACCTTTTCTTGAAATCTGTGTCTGCTCTTGTTGTTATGCTTTAGCACAGGGGTCCCCAACCCCCCTGGGAACTGGGCCACACAACAGGAGGTGAGTGACAAGGGAATGAGTGAAGCTTCATCTGTATTTACAGCTGCTCCCCATCACTCAGCACCCTCCTTATAAGAATCGAATGCCTGATGATCTGAGGTGGAGCTGAGGTGATGATGCTAGCACTGGGGAGCAGCTGCAAATACTGTCTTATGGTGAGTTACATGATAATTTCATTATATATTACAATGTAATAATAATAGAAATAAAGTGCACAAGAAATATAATGCCCTTGAATCATCCTGAAACTCTCTCCCCCAACTCCAGACTGTGGAAAAATTCCATGAAATTGGTCCTTGATGCCAAACAAGTTGGGGAACTGCTGCTTTAACATGAGGTTTATATAGATCTATAATTCAGCAGGTCAAATTAAAATAGAATGTCTTCAGAATTACGTTTTATGGACTTAGATTACATTGTTTACTTAAAGCAGAAATCTAGTTGTAAGATTTTAGATCCTTAAATAAGACAATATAGAAAATTTTTTCAAAAGCTTTTCCGATCAGTTTCCCTCTATGTGGATATACTACTGCCACTACTTCAGATGGTGGCTTGTCCCCTTCAAAACTTTGTACTTCAGAACAGAGATGCACATTGAAGTTAGAAAAGATCCACATTTGGTCCACATGAGTAATGAGCATAGAATGTCGTATCTGAATGAACCTGAATCCTTGTGTTATCCTGTGTTGAAATTATCTTTCAGGAGGTGAAATTGACTGTGTGGATAAGGATGGCAACACTCCTCTCCATGTGGCTGCAAGATATGGTCATGAACTTTTGATTAACACCTTAATAACCAGCGGAGCTGACACAGCCAAGTAGGTTACTACAAAAATACAGTGAAGTAATTGCCACGGGTGGGAATTCTGCCAAAGGGATTCGGCCATGCAGTAGATAGTGCCTGTGTATCCAAGTTAAAGTGGATCTGTACCTTATACTAAACAAAAATTAAATGTGAACTAAATTAAGTGGCTTTTGATGACAGGTGTAAGGGAAGAACCAGATTTATTTTTCAGTTTCATCAGAATAAAGCCTATTCCAGTGGTCTGTATTTTTTTTTTTCCTGAGAGGTTTTTGCTGTAGGGTTTGTGCACTCACCAGAGAGACAGAGAGAGACAGAGAGACAGAAAGCTAGAAATCACCCCCAGGGAGGATGTCCAGGCCACAGTCCCTTCTCCTCCAGTCTCCTCACAGGATTTTGGGCATGCACGCACACGCACTCAGTATGAGTTTTAAGCTGCCAGGTCTGGCACTTGAACCACAGTCGACCACGTGAGAGTCCAGCGACATAACCATTATGTCATCTGCTGGTTCGACCAGTGGTTTTAATTAAGGAGACTTTAACTTTATTCCTAACTCTGCTTTCTAATATTCTGTGTTCTTTCCAATGCTCAAGGTTAAAGAGGAAAGAGAAAACATCATTGGGCAAATTTAGAATTTATTCAGCATGCTTACTCAGTTTTAATGATATGGTTATAGAGTACCACTGAGTAAATCTGCTACCTAGGGAAGGGGAGACTGACCTCATTTTACACTTCAAGTCAAGAGACATATATAAAGCATCTGTATGGATCTATCTATCTGGGAGTTATGGGAGATTCCTGAAGTAAGTTATGTGGTTGGTATCTTCAAGGAGCTCATAATTTTGTTGGTGGTCCGGTGCCCACTTAAGACAAAGAATCATGCAAGATAGTTTATCAAGAAGTCCTAAGTGAAACAGGACTTTACATGGCCAATGTTTGGTATAGACAATATGTTCTGGAGAATGTAGACAGAAAGGAGAGAGTTCAAAAGTGGTCAAAGTTTTCTGAAAAAGCCAGCAAGGAAAAGATCAATTTTAGGTTATTTTGAGAGGATGAGACTTCTTTTAGCAGAGTGGAGGGTGACAACCATTCCAAATAGAAGAAAGCAGGAACAAAGGAGGAAAAGATTTCACTTTAGGGGATGCTTGACCTGCAAGAGTAGAAGGGATTTGTTGGTACCCCCAGAGGAGTATGGCATGCAGGTAGGGAGCACAGGCTTTATTGAACACTCCCTAGGCTCCAGACCAAGCTGCCTCACTGTGAGTTGTATGACTTCAGCCTATTGTGTTCAATTCCTCTGTGGTTTCCTCTTTTGAAAAATAAGGGCCAATCCATGGCCTAGTAGTTAAGGGAGCTGGATCTCACATGGCTGACCATGGTTTAAATCATGGGCCCGGTGACTTGAAAAACATGTCGAGCACATGTGGTGATTGCCCTAAATTCTGACAAGGTGGAAAAATGGAGAAGAAGGGATTGTAGTGTGACCACACCCCGATGGGAGGTACTTTCTCCCTCTT